CAGGCTCGGTTGTTGTGGAAGCCTCTGTTGTCGTTGAAGGCTTTGTTGCTGTGGAATGCTCTGTTGTTTCTGTTGTTGTGGAAAGCATTGTTGTTGGAGGCTGAGTAGTGACAGCTTCAAGTTTAAATAATAGTTGATGTTAGTTATAAAATAGCACAGGTATAGGAAGCATAAAATAACACTCATACAAAGGAGGTGAAAGATGCAGCAGTTAAAAGACAAGCATCACGCAACATTACAATCTTTACAGTGGCTTTACCGCTACAACATGTACTGACCTTTTCCATTTCCACAGTATCGTAAATTGCATGTTGGTGGTTTGACGAGGTTGTAAACATAGTAATCACTACAGTTCTTGACCTGAATTTGGTTATTCCATAAGCAGCAAGAATTTGACCAGTGATAGCAGACAGTCCGTATCACCAACCCCTGCTCTACGGTTGGATGTGAACCATTCATCCATCCAGGCGCATGAGTCTGGCAACGGAATTTGAGAACGCACGATGTTGCTATCTGTGCGCCCGCACCACCAGTGAAACGGAACCATACGTCTCGGGTAAGGTCATTAGAATCGCATTTCAATGGTTCCAACGAATTATAATACGCGGAAGATCGGTCAGCAGAGTCCAAGTTTGCGTAATTCTGACACGGGTCTGCATATAAAAAAAAACATATCATATGTATATTCTTCCTTTGCATGCAAAATATGCTCAGCGGCCATCTTGGTTGGTCTTTAACGAAGGATTTCTCGTGAGTATCTATTGTTTATTCAAACAACATGGCCGCTGGTATTTTGTCTTTTGTATCTCATTGGAATCGCACTCGATCTGACTCTATTGTTTTTTTTGTTCTTTAACAACAAAAACTTACTAGTCATTTTAGTAATTAGTAATTTTATTGCTTTGTTTCATTATCAAAATAAAAATTATTTCGTCAATGGTGTTGAGCTTTCGGCAGTGTCGATTTTAGTGAAAAGGTAGATGGAGTCGAAGTGCGATAAAAATTGGCGACATCTGCGTGTTTAATATAATAACACACGAATATTTTTACAATGGCTAAGAGCGTGTATTTTGATATATAAAACAGTACAGCCTTTTGCAAAAATTATGAGAATTGTCGAAATATCTAAATATCATAATATCGAGTGCATGATGGGTAATCCCGAGCGATGCCCTTAGTCCCTTGTCTTTGTAGTTTAGTTTTTTTTTGGCGACAGACTTATCCGTAGTTCTGAACATTTTCTCGATGTCAACAATGAATTATTCTAGCAAACCCGCGTGTTCCGGAAAATATATGGATATGGATATTATAATATTTAGATATTTAGACAATTCTCATAATTTTTGCAAAAGGCTGTATACGTATAAAATTGTGATTATGATATATATAATTGATAATAAATAGACACAAAATGCAATTTAGGTCATTTTGGCCGTTAGGGACTAGTGACGAGATAGGAAAAATAAAAAGAGGAGGAGTTACACCCTTCCCTTTTCTCGCCCCCATTCTCCCTCTTTTGACTCCTCAAAAAGACAGGAAGCCCGTGATTCTTAGTGATGCATGCGGAGGAGGCTAGTAGTATATAAATAGATTTGATTATAGATAATATAGGAAACGAATGAATTAGCACATGCATGTCATTACTACTTTGTACTTTTTATGCACTTTCCAATTTTGACGGATTAGAGTCATGATGTCAAAAAGCAAGTGAAATAGATATTTAAGTACTCTCAAACTGTATGAAGCATGAAGTTGCTTAATTGTTACGTGTGCAAGAGATAACGAACCTTGTCCAATGCCGCAGTATCGCAGTGAACAATATTTTGGTTTGACAAGCTCATAAACATAGTAATCCCCACAGTTCTTGACTTGAATTTGGTTGTTCCACAAGCAGCAAGAATTTAACCAGTGATAGCAGACAGTCCGTATCACCAACCCCTGCTCTACGGTTGGATGTGAACCATTCATCCATCCAGGTGCAAATGTCTGGCAACGTTTTATGGCAACGCACGATGTTGATATCAGTGTGCCTGCAGCACCAGTAAAACGGTACCATGCTTTGGTCAGGTCGTTATAATCGCATCTCGCTGGTTCCAATGAATTAAAATAACCAATTGATCGGTCAGCAGAGCTTAAGTTTTTGTAATTCTGACACGCGTCTAAAAAAAGAAAATATACACAATGATAACTAAGAGCGTATAGATGTAATATAATCGGACTTTCGCTATTTATTGATTAAATGTTCAAGTTTACAGGGAATGACTTTATATGTAGTGCAGAGTAGACAGCAGAAAACACAGTAACTCCAATAAATAAATATAGGTGAACACTATCGCTATCTAATTAGTTAGTAAACACTTTCATGGTTTTGCTGTTTACTTTGGTAATGGTACTAATGCAAAAAAGTAGGATTTTATAGCACACTTTATCATGTTCCAGGCCCGTAGCAARGGGCGGGGCCAGGGGGACCAGGGCCCCCCACTTTTTTGGCAAAAAATAATAATGTACAATTATATATATAAATTATTTAAATCCTAAAAGGAAATATGACGGGACAAATGGAACTTCTCAATTGGGCCCCCTGACTTTTTTTAACCCTGCTACGGGCCTGTGTTCAAATATGACATATTTGAATCAAACTTCATCTAGAACTGTAGAACGGTGACCCATAAGGGATGCCACTTCTTGTAGTCAGTTGCTACTTGTTTTTCCTTTGCTTTTTTGGCTATTTTCCCGACCTTTCTTGTCACGCGAAGAAAACAACGTCAAGATTGGAAAACCATCATACATAGATAGCTAAGATTCGGTGAGTTGGATTTCAAGAAATCTCCTCAATAATCATGCTTTTTTGCGTAATAACTTTAATTATTGATGTTCAATCTATGAGTTTTTCCATGTAATTTAGAATAAAATATTTCTGTCTGATTAGTTAAGTTAAAAAGTGGTTAATTTGAAGATTCATCCCAACCGTCCTTATCCTCATAAACACATGTGGCCTATAGTTGAAACCGTTGGCCTAGTTGAAACCATTATTGAACCTTCGTTGGTTTAATGCAGAGGGAAAACAATGGGTTACGATCGATATCAGCAATTATTCAAATTGAACATCATTACAGCTATCCTGAACCAAGCATTAGAAGAATGAGATTTTGAAATCCAGCTGACCGACAGCCTTTATGGGCTGTAATCTAGCTAATTGAGCTTTATATAACGCCTTCATATACCTCCGTTGGCTTGGATTCCTTGTTTGACACCAAAAACTCCAAYAATCTGGGAAAAAGCATTAGATGGAAAAGTTTCAGTCTAAATATATCCAGGTACTTGTCGTTTCGATTCTAATTAGATCAAATTAGATTTCACCTATTCCCTTCCATTTTCTCTCTTAACTTTAGATGCAAAAAATCAGAGCATTTCACATCGAAAATTGCATGGCAATTACATGTTCAAAAAAATTAAAAGCTAGACTTTTTTTAGTGCAATGAGTCAGCAGACTCGCTTACGCCATGTCTTTATCTGATCCGACCAATCATTACAAACGCGTTATCAGATGTTTTCGCTTTTTTCTAATTTCCTCAGGTGATTTAACATCATTCAATGCTAAATTTTGTCGACTATTTTATTCCAAGAACGAAATCCATTGTTGGTCTTCCTATATCGTCGTTCAAAAAGGAGCTTTCGTGCCTGGTTCTATAGAGTGACTTTATTCCAGAGTAACTATACCAGCTCAAAGTACAGTCCATATTTTAGAATTGTCCCATTTTCAGTAATGCAACGAAACTGAATAGCGACAATGCATTGCGGTATTAGGTTGTACTATGCAGTACAGTTTTCAACGTTTTCACAGACTCAAATAACTAGAGACCTATGAGTAAAACTCTAGAGCGGATAGCTTATGATCAACGTTTATCATTTACTAATTAATTAATAAGAATGATATTTCATATAAATCGTCGAAATTCTCGGTCTTGTAGCGAATATAGCTTTGAAGCTCATTGAAGGTTTGAAATCGTGGAACATATCTCAAGGAAAATGTAGATAGCGAGACATACATAGGCAAAATATATATTTTGAATATATCAATTACATGTAATGACGCATGGAAATCCCGAGATTCTTTGTAGGTTTAAGACTGTGGACTGTGTCCTGGAACGTTTTTTGAAATAGGTGTATCCGTTCTAAAGTCTCAGCCACCTATGTGTCACAACTGAAGTGTTTGTCAGCGAGAAATTCAGGAAAAAGAACTCTCGAGGAATACTCAAGAAATAAAAATTTCCTAACTAAAACGCATAATAATATAAATAGTGTGTAAGCTAAACACCAAGTTCATGAAACTCCTGAAGATATTTGACTAACGTTTATTCATAAGCATTCTATATACCCCAGCTCTGCCCAGCATTGAGCACTTTATATTTATATATGGAGTAACTCCGCCTTATACAGCCTTTTGCAAAAATTATGAGAATTGTTGAAATATCTAAATATCATAATATCAAGTGCATGATGTGTAATCCCGCGCGATGCCCTTAAGTCCCTTGTCTTTGTAGTTTTTTTTTTCTTTTTGGCGACGGACTTATCCGTAGTTCTGAACATTTTCTCGATGTCAACAATGAATTATTCTAGCAAACCCGCGTGTTCCGGACAATATATGGATATGGATATTATGATATTTAGATATTTAGACAATTCTCATAATTTTTGCAAAAGGCTATATATGTCATTTTTTCTTCTTCTTCTTTTTTTTGATATGACAGTATAGAGTATAGAGTATATTTGTTTAGTTATTTTATCATAATCTATCCAACCTACCAGGACATGAAATAGAAAGTCCATCTTTGCCCTCAAGCACTTCAGTGTAAATTGCAAATCACGTAGCTGTGCGTTCTRTTATAGACCCCTTGCAGTTCATGGGAATGCAGCTCCAACTGGAGGACAAAACAATGGATTCTAGTTCCCAAGAGGTTAAAAATCTTTTGTTTTGTCCTCCAGATGAAGCTGCTTTGACGTCACATGCAAGGGGTCTATGGAAAGAGCACAGTTTGAGTGATCTTCTTTTGTATTTGAATGACATAATTTTTTCATGGATGATAAGACAAAATGTACATGTAGCACGCTTTTCTTGTACATTGAATTTGCCGGGGTAGCTTGTTATAAAGCGCTAAGGCTAGTCGACAAATGCAAAAGGATATGATTTAAAACTTTAATAAGTTCCTACCGAACTTTATAGGCATCATTTTGAGTCCACCGCATCCCGTGACAACTGTAAAGGTTATCAGTCAAACTTACTTTGATGAAGCTCGTTTTGGTCCATCGGGGCTCATGTGAAAAAGTAATGAATCGCAACTTTTTAATGTAAAAGAATCATTAATCGTTTTATTCTAAAATTAAATATTTGCTTATTCTTGACCTAATCGATGTCCTAACTCCTGCTCAGTGCGCCTAAATGCTTCCCATCGAGGCGTATCATCAATGCATATTATTTATTCCTTTAGAATCTTGATTCATATCCCTAATTTTAGAATAATGAAGCCAGTATCTAATAACCTCGGACTGTCGTCTAGCACTGGTAAACATTTGCGTGTGAGAGAGTATTAAAACGCAATTGAACATGAATAAAAGTCAAAATCCAGTTGAAAATCGTTATGGTCGCTTATCCCGTGACTACCATTAGACCGTGAAGGAAAGGCATAAAGCTTCTCGCGCAGCTTAGTATTGTTCAATACATAGGTTCCCGCGAAGAGGTAGGAGGCGATTAAAACGCAAAAAATGAATACGGAGTACATCCATATGGCAAAGATCAGAAAACACGGAACACTATTTATGATGTTCATAGTTTTTCTCATATTCTGCAAAGACTGTGACATTTCAATAAAGTGTTACCCAGCACTAAGCTGACGAAATCTGTATAGGAACCTTTAATTTTAGTAAATTAAACAACAAGGGCAGGCATGTGTTGACACGTTGATTGACTACGAAGAAAAAATAAAAAAWTTTATGGAAGCCTCTAACAAAAGCATGACGTCAACGCCAAAAATTTGGATGCAGCAGTGGCCCACACGCAATCGGAACACTGGCCAACACTTCCACTTTGTAAACGTATACGTTTTAAAAAAATGTTGACTGTGCGTTTTGCGTTTGAACTTTTTGTTTTCTCATCTACATGTATCTTTATATCCTTAAAACCATGAGTGCAATAAGTAAAATGATGATATTATAATAATATGCTAATTTGTACAACTATAAATTATATATATATACTTAATATTATGGACATAATGTTAAAAATAATCTCAGTGATAAAATGTGTACGTATCTACAAATGTTTCACTTAATAAAATTCAGTCCATTCTTAGATAGTTTACAATCTCTTCTGGAAGGGAGTTCCAGTCTTTCGATGTTCTTGGGAAGAAGCTGTCAATGTAATAATTAGCGCCAGTTGGCATCTGAATATATGATTTAGAATGTTGTTTTCTTGTGGACTTAGTTGGTCTTTGGAGATCATTTGGCAGTGGAATGGCTATGAGATTGTTAACAGCCTTGAAAAACACAGTTAGTCGGTTGGCAGTTCTTCTAGTTTCTAAACTATCCCATCCAAGTTGTTAGATCAGACCAGTTACGCTGGTGTTATATCTATCATAGCAATTAAGAGCAAAGCGGGCAGCTCTGCGTTGTACAATCTCAATTCTGTGGATGTTATCTTTAGTGTATGGGTCCCAGGCTGCTGAAGCATATTCTAGTTGCGGTCGTACGAGTGATGTATATGCCATAGATTTAACATCTGGGGAGCACTTAACTAGATTACGTTTGAGAAAATTTAGTTGGTCTGTTGCCTTGGAAGTAATCATATCGATGTGTTTATTCCAACTCAGATTAGTTGATAACTGCACACCTAAATACGGGTGGTCAGACGATGGTTTCAGCATTGATCCAGTGATGTTATAATTATACTCAAAGATATAGCATTTAGATGGATTGAATGACATCTGCCAGATTTTTGACTACTTCACCAAGCTGTCCAAATCATCCTGCAATACTTGTGTATCCTGTGATGTAACTGGACGGTAGAGTAGGCAGTCGTCAGCAAACAATTTAATGTTAGAAGATATTTCATGTCGTTGAAATAAAGTAAGAACATCAGGGGGCCCAGTACCGTCCCCTGAGGCACCCCAGAGCCTACATACACAGGTTCAGAGCACTCTCCATCCACAATCACTTTCTGGTAACGTGTAGTTAGCCATGTCCTGATCCATTGCTGTAGTTGATATGGTAATCCATAGAGATTAAGCTTCATAAGTAAACGTTCATGCGGCACATAGTCGAATGCTTTTTGAAAATCCAGTATTAGGAGATCTACTTGCATTCTGTCTTTCTTTGATCGGACAATATCATCAATTGCATTGATTAATTGGGATTCACAAGAGTGGCCTGAGCGAAAACCATGTTGGTAGTGAACAAGAATGTTGTTACGATCAGGATGACTCATAATTTGGCTATATACCACATGTTCCATGATCTTACAAGAAATGCTTGTGAGGGATACAGGTCGATAATTTGCTGGATCAGAACGCGATCCTTTCTTGAAAATTGGAACAATGTTTGCTGACAGCCAATCACATGGTAAGACAGCACTTTCACTTATGACTGATTGAATATGAATGCAAGAATAGGTGCCACTTCATTTGCAGCCTCCTTTAGAACTCTTGTTGGTATCAGGTCTGGACCAACTGCCTTGTATGTGTTCAAGTTGGAGAGTAATTTCTGGACACCAGTTGTGGTTATCACAATCTCCTCCATTATATAGGTATATTACTTGGTGGCAGGTTTGGTAAAGAGTCGAGATCCTCTTTAGTGAACACTTCCTCGGTACTGATTGCTGAGAATATCCCTGCTTTTGACTGACTATCAGATGATATTAGGCCATTAAATTTCAGCTGGGACACTCCAGTTTTATCTTTCCTCAAACCTTTGATATAAGACCAAAACCGTTTGGGCTTCTCATGTAGTGCAGAGGTGTTAAGGATTTCTTTGACATAGTTATCATGAGCCAATTGGAGTTCTTTTTTGATAGATCTACGCAAGTACTTGAAATTTTTCCAATCTTCAGCTTTTCCAGACAACTTTGCCTTCTTATATCTACGATGCTTCTTTCTGATCATTCTCTTGAGTTCTTTTGACATATAGGGTAAGTCCCAACGTCCGTTAATTTTCTTCTTTGGGATGTGATCTAGAGCAGCTTGAGAGACAGCATCTTTTAAAGATTTCCAATTTTTTACCACAGTTCTTTCTTGGGGATTGGARGCAAAGAATKTTTGTTGATATGAATTGAGATCAGCTTTYAGACCAGACCAATTCGCTTTACTGTAAAGACTTACAATTCGTGGTGGTTTCTTGTTGATCTTGGCCTTGATATCAATATCAGCGAGAACAATATCATGGTCACTCATACCAGGGCCAGTACGAACATCTGTAGCCAGATCAGGAGATGTAACAAACAATAGGTCCAATATGTTCCTCTCCCTGGTGGGATGTGGATTAACTTGGGAAATAAAGTGATCTCTAGCAACATCCAACATTTTATAACTAACTGCTGATGAATAAATACGAGTTGACTTTCAATCTGCCATGAGCCCATTCAATATCAGGTAAGTTAAAGTCACCAGCTAAGATAAAGTTTGGAGACCCATTACCATGCAGGACGGATAGTTTCTGTAGAGATTCATCCAAGGCATCCAGAGGATCTGTATTGTTATCAGGTGGTCTATAGAAGGAACAGAGATACAATGGTCTAGAATTTTGAATATGGAATTTAACCCATACAATTTCGCAGTCAGAGTCCAGTTCAGGTAGATCAGCAGCAATATAACGCTCATGGACTGCAATAAATATTTCAAAGGAATTTGACATATCTATCAAATTTAAATGTGTACCATGGAGGGAAAAGGAATAATTCAGGTGGTCACACTTAGGACAAATCCATATACCAGACGAGTTCGCTAGATCTTCGTAGGTGTTATGGCCAATTTCGCAACACTTAGCATGATGCCACGAGTCACCAACCATCGCACTGTACACCTCTCTGGTTAGATTTTACTGGTTTAGTACATATTTGGCATGGATTATTCCACATCGGTCCCGGATTTGCATGAATGTCACCACAGATAGCCAGCAAAAACAAAGCCGAGAATCGCAGTCCAGAGGAACCATGAGGCAATTTAACTTGATACGCAGCAGCAAGAAGAATAACCGCTCTGTTTGGGCTCTTAGGGGCAAACGTGATATTCAATATAGTGCCAGGAAGTATATTAAGATTCTTGTGGCCCAGGACGGTGTTGTTTAGAATACAAAAATAGGGCAAGTAGAGGGACAATTCGTGGAGCTAAGAAATTCGTGGCCGCCATCTTATGCATACATTTCTTCTGTGATAGGGGATGTAACAATTGCCTTATACCCAGTTTTAGTTATATAGATATAGCAAGGTTGATATTGCTTTCAGGGGGTGGGCCGGGGTRTTTTTTACTTAAAAGTATCATAGCAATTTTATCCGCGGGGATTATATTTAGAGATACAACAAAATGGAAGATATTGCCGGCCCCACCTTAGTTCCTGATAATAAACGAACGGCCACCTTAAGAAAGCACCAACTAAAATGTTACAAATAATACAATCAAGGTGAGTAAGCTAGTGTGCAAGGTGTTGCAAAGATTAACCTGTGTTAACCCTTCAGTGAACCAAGACTGTTGCGGAGGCTAGGRAGAATTATACCTAATTAGTGTATTGTCTAAACTTTTAGTAGTTTCCCTTATCCCAAAAAAATTCTCCTTCTATATTATGGTTATAAACTTTAAATCATCAATAGAGTGCACGTCACATATAAGCATGAAACAATTCTTAATACACCTACTTGCGAAAACGTTGTCATAGAAAATAGAAACATTTGTATTTAGTAAAAAGGAACAAATTAAAAAAGACAAAAGAAGATCACTGAGGCTGAACGCTTTCTTTTGTCTTGTTTTAATTTATTCCTTTTTACTAAAATACAAATGTTCTATTTTCTATGACAACGTTTCTGCAAGTAGGTGTATGTATTGCTAAATAAGATTTAGTTATCAACTAACAAAGCATAAACACGACGCCAATTATTTAAATTCCTTTGTAGCATTGTTCTCAATTCTTAGTTAGTTGATAACTAAATCTTATTTAGCACTACATAGTTAAGAATTGTTTCATGTTTATGTGACTTGCACTCTAATGCTTTAAAATGAAGAATACTCGAAGAAGTCATCTTTGTTATTGGGATCCCTTTGGTGATTATGGCTTCGAGGGAACGAGAGGGACTGAGAACCGTTTCTTTCGGCGCCAAAAAAGCACGGAACACAAAATGGCGAAAGTATCAAGTGAGGTTGATGTGTTAAAAACACTTGAAAAACTCGAGAATGAGCATCAAAGGTGGGTAGTAGATGATCGTAAATATTGAAGAAGCATTAGAGGTAATTATAAGACAAAAAATTGCAATATGAATTGATAAGATCGATCATACGTAGAGCGAAAGTTCAGATGATGTTAAAATGATGATGTAAAGCTTAACACTGTATTAAGCTTATACTAAGTGAAAAGAACTCCGGCCTAACTCCGGTCGTACAATCAATCAATCAGTCAATTAGTTTTATTTCTTTCATAATCATTATTACATTCTTATGTACTTTGCAATTTATAAAATAATAATTTGTAATGATTAAAGAATCCTAACCAACCATGATACAGCGCGCGCTTTTGTTATTSATTGCATACATTTAAATGCATGTTATACAAGTTTTCAGTAAAATCGGACGTTTTGATTGGTTGGCTTTCGTGTGTTATCAAAGTATAGATACACGGATTACGTCAAAACTAATTGTTTGTTGTATAAAACAGATAGATCTTATTTTTCCGTGCGTGTGTACTCTAATAGATACACAGATGACGTCAAAATGTAGTGAGAACAACAGTCACGCACTCGACTGTGTCTCGTGCGTACTTTTTTGTTCTCACTACATTTTGACGTCATCTGTGTATCTATTAGAGTACACACGCACGGAAAAATGAGATCTATTTGTTAATTACAATACAAGCATACAATAGATTATATATTGATGGTACCTGTGAGATACTTAGTTTTAAAAAGGTATTTCTGTCCAAACTGAAAGGATGGAAGACGATTCACGCTCACTTTAACAGATGTCACTTCGGCTCGATCAGATTAATGGCGGATAGGAAAAAAACGACTTTCGAAGCTCCATTTTTCCTGCTTTTCAATGATGTATCGATAAAAMAATTCTCAGAAATACTTATTTGGATCTTCATAAAGAGGTATATGTACAAAAACAGCTCAAATTCGATGTTCGGTTTTCATTGTACCCACACTTTAAGGAATCCCAACAAATCTGCCATTTTCGTGTCCACCTAAAATGGCGCTTCGGATCGCAAGGTACATGTACGACGGTTGGTTGTGATTCTTTAAGACCCCATGAAAAGCAACAAGTGCTTATGAAATATAGACAATATTTTCCTTAAAAAAATATTTTTTTCCAGTTTTTGCATTTATTCTACTTGATGAGATTGTTGATAATTGAGAAAAGTTATTTAAGAATAAACCTCAACATCTCAACATGATAGAGTCAATAACGTCTTCAGAGTAATCATTTAATAGTAAATTCAGTCCAAAACGGAAAAGATAAGAAATCGATAATAATCGATAAAAATCAATAAAATTGATAATCACAGCAAAGCTGAATATCGATTTTTATTGATTTCCGATATTAATCAATTGATCAGTAATGATTAGTATCAAATAGTATCGATTTTATCGATTAGTAGATTTCATTGATTAGTTACGTTGGGTATAAGAAAAATTGGTCCAAGAATAACCTTCCTGAACTCAATTTGTAAATTTTAAGTAACAACCTCCTATCGAAAGCAATCCAATTGTTGACTCTGTGAGTGACAGGATGGGAATTTCCTTTAACTAGAAGTGCATAAATAGCAAATGCTGGCTGTACGAAAGGGGGGAAATAATGAATGCATCAGTTAATTGTAACCATAGCAACAAACCCCCAGGAAATACTTTGGGAAAGCATTTCAACAATGGTAAAGTCCCTGCATTTACTGGAACTTAGACTCCAAAAAAGGTAGCTTTAGAAACTGATAATTTCCTTTGATTTAGACGTTTTAAGGTATAAACTAAAATTTCCCTGCTTTACTAATACTTATGAGAAGTGTTGAGTGCGAAAAAAGTATTGATTGTGAGTGTCAGCAAGTTTGATATATGATAATTAGCCAYTGGCAATTTAAATAAAATTTTTAATTTAAATAATTTTGGAAATGGTTAAATTCACTGTGTTGTTTATGCTGGATTTCAGATGACTTCTAGTTTTTATATCTTTGGTGTTTCAATATATTTACAGTTACTAAACTTCGAACTCTATAACATACAATGCCAATTCTAAAACTCTTACTCACTCAATCTCATAGCAGGTTGTCAAATATAAAATTCTCCATTACTATGAATTATTATGTCTTGTCACTTTCTGAAATGTCTTTTTAGAACTTCAGAAGAGAAAAGCATGCAAGTCATCAAAGAATTGGAAATATSTGAACTAGATGATAAAGGTATTAGAAACAAAAGTGCAAATTCAAACACTGCATACAAACATTTTATTATTTTTCATTGTTGAAAGCTTGTATATATGCATAAAGTATGTCATGTTTGCCATGCATGTATTATACCATCACTGCTATATGCTTTGTATTTCATGCTGAATAAAACCTAAAGGCCTATAAGCTATTGCACAAATCAACTGTCTTTTTCCTACCATGCCCTTTGCCGGATCATCTTTCTCCCTTCAGWTATGTAATTATTTTYATTCTTCTTTTCTAATATGCATTGATAGTTCAAGACCTGAAAAAGAGAAAATTACAACTAAAAAACAGACTGAAAAGAAAAACATGTCAAAAGCTTGATGAATTTGTGAATAACATGGAGGATCTAGAATATATAAATACTATAAGCAACCAAGACAAAAAGGTATGGAGGTTATTACTTAGAATTATTTCAATCAAGATATCAAAAGTTTGAAAATTGCAATATTGCTAGCCATTTCCACAAATTTCATTGTCTGTTAAATTCATTCTGTATTCAATATATGATAGCATTCTACATGTAGCTTATGATATTTGCATGCAAAGACAGTACTTAAATGTAATACAGCTGTCTTGCCATGAGTTATGAAGCAACACAGCATGTCAATGGGCAAACACATACATTGCCATTTAGAATGGGACTGAACTATTACAGTGAGATGCAACTTATTGCATAACTGTTTGAGGATAATTTTTTATAGATATCCAGAATATTTCTAAACATTTTTTTTAGAGTATCACTATTTAAAGTATATTATAAATTATCCAAGCAAGATGCTAATTTGTTTTGGGACAGTACACAATCTCCCATTATCMAATATTTGATAATACACCTATTTCAAAAAACGCATGGAACTTGAAAAGAGTGACAATAAAATTGATTTGAAATCTCACACTTTAATTCTCAAAATTGTGAATATATTGTGCACAAATGAGGCTAACACAGAGCATTGGAGAATTCGAAACTGGAATACTCTCGGTGAATATTATATTATTCTCTTTTAACAGTGGCGACTTCCGGTCTCGTCAAATTTCCTCCCCGAAAGTAACATCAGGGAGGAAATATGACGAGACTGGAAGTCGCCGCTGTTAAAAGAGACTAGGAAAACCCCAAGATTCTTTGCAGGCTCAAGACTGTGGACTGTGTCGTGGTGACGATAATGTTTTTTGAAATAGATGTATATGTARCCAAGTGAAGATTTAGAACCTTGAAGTAATTAAGCTCACATAGCTAAACCAAGTAACAAACTAAGGAGATGCAGATAGTTTTGAAATAGATTATGGCGAGTGTTAATTAGAAATCTGTGTAATGTTAGTTCTGGATTGTGTTACTTTCTAGTTGATAGTTCAAACTGTGTAAATATACTTTTGATACTTTTGTTTACGATATAAGGCACAAGGTTACTTATAAATGATGACATGTGTTTGGTGTGCAATAAATTAGTTCTGTCGTGGTCTTAGTAGAGATCACATGTGAGTTAAGTTTGTCTTGTGATAATGTAGTGCTTTGTGCGTAAAGGAGCCAGAAATGAGAGTCACATACTCTCGCCGTACAAAGTAAATGACGTCCATACGAATTATCATTACCACATGTAAAAGGACTCACCAAACCTGGCCACTATGCATGTACAATGTATATTTCTAATTATTTACTGGTATTTTTGATAATGTTCATTCAAGGAGATTCTAACAATTGTTGATGAGATCAGATGTGCAAATGTAAGTAAAACTGCTAAACTTATTGATAAAATAACTGTTAATGTCATCCTCAAGGTCTTGTTAGCCAATACTGTAGAATACCAAAGAAACTGTTTACATACAATTATTTGATGATTATTGATCAATTTCTGACAATGCTAAAGCTGGTTCAATTTTTTACTACAAACACTTGGAACTGGCTCACACAAGATATCAATCCATGAAAAGCCTATAGAGTGTGCTTTAAACTGTATGCAAAAATAAAAAATTGTCAGAAATTAAAACATGTTATAAAACCTTATATTTATATGATAATCTCAGAGATGTGATAAGTGTGATGAAACTGACACTATTTCCTCACTATTGCAGCTACATGTACTATGACTGATGTAGACATTTGTACACTTTACTAATTTGTACTGATAATTCTGTTTGATCTTACAGCTTAAAAATTTGTGCACTATCTACAGACTTACAGGAGTATCAATTGAAAGTGWTAGTCCTTCAAAAGTAAATTTTAGATTGGATACATTTTGCCAGGGTCAGTAACTAAACTTTGATAAACCAAATTTCATAATACTCTTTATTTATTCTTTTTATAATGATTCAATATAATAAATGCTCTTTCTGGTTACTACTGGTGAGTTATTTTAG